GCGCAGGTATGCTCTATGCGCGGCTATTGGCACATTTGCATAGGAGGTCAAAGATGTGATTCCAATGATGCATAAAAGACTTTGGCTGAGATAGGTGAATCAGTGAATAGATGGTGTTTAAAAGTGTTTAGTAACACTAGGCTAGGCTTTGCTATTGATCACATTAGCTGACACTAGGACTGTATCAGTGTCATAGAGCATCCTATAGGCTCTACAGTCTCTGCCATCAGCCACCCAAAAGTAATAGTCAGTCGATCAGGTGCTCCATAGATTTATTATTTACAACCAAGATTCAGTAGATTCATCTGACCCTTTCCTCCTTGATGACAGCCATTCTTTACGTGCGCTCATGAACACAACCTCTGGAAAGCAGATGGTTTCTTTTTTCTCCCAGCATGCTCATAAAAAAAGGGGCCCTCGCTGCTGAGAACAAACATGAGATGAATGGTAAATCAGCCCTTGATGCAGAGTATTGATTGTTTAGTAATGCCATGTTTTCCTTTATAATCACTCTGCTCTGTTCTCATGACAGCATGCTTAGTGTACAGTACTTGAACGCCTTCGATCTAGAGCCGATGTGTTCCTACAGTATGTGTAGGAACATCAAAAAATAAGGAAGACATTTAAGTGTATAATGTTATAGAAAGCAGAGACACATGGATTTTCTGCTTAGTATGCAATCATGTGCCTTTTTAAAAAATGATGTAGTCTCACCTTGTTAAATATTCGTTTCCTTTGACCTTTTTGCAGAAAGTTTGTTTTTCTAAAAGTACTTCCATAGAAACAAAAAAAGAAAATGTTATTCAAAGTGACATAAATCCCCTTCCGCGTCATCATTCAATGTAAAAGGCATTAGTTGGCCTTCAAACCCCCCCCCTTTTCCTCTCTGAGTAGTGCTGTGTGTTACTGCAGTGTTGTCTCTGATGCAGGTCAGTCTGCACTTCCCTTCCTCAACTGGTGGGATGGGTGAGACAGAACACTTCATCACTTCCCAGGTAGTGAAGGTGTCAGGGCCAGGGACAATAACATGTCATGAGAAGACCTGGGCAGAATGAAGCACTGATGGAAACTCATAGCCCTACATCTATGACCATGGTACTCTAGTCTAACTGTGGGTGTACCATTCCACCTACTGTGTACTGCCAGCTAACTAACTCCATTTCCTGTCGTTCGTGGACCATAAAAGCCTGCCCTACAGTGGGCTCTCATCCTGCACGTCTTGCGCGTACACAAATAGGATGGGGGCGGGGGGGGAGCCTTCACAAATAATTGACTCTAAGCTGGTCTGCTGGGTGACCTTAAAGAGAGAACGGCAAGTGGGTGAATGGCTTTTATAAATGTGCTTTAGTGATGTCATCCACTGGGAAGGTTTTAGTCCCTCTGCTTTTTACATCCTTCTATTTCCAACCAGCTAGAAAATCACTGAGGCCAGGCAGTGAGTGGCATTGCTATTTTTCCCATTGTAGCAGAAGGGATAGTTTAGTGGGATGATGGACACCAGCAGGGATTTGTGAGGCTTGGGAGTCTGAAGTTGGTTTCAAAACCATCATTTATAGAATCAATCAGAAAGATGTTCGTGTCTGAGGAGGACGGAGGAGGTGGATTTATCATTGTGATGTAATGCTAATTATTGGCCACCCAGCATGCATGGCAATTACAGTCAGAACCTGACATATTTAAAGACAATGAAATCTTCAGTCAGTTCATCACAGATCTCCAGAGAGCAGATTTTGAGTTGTGCATCTCTCTGTCTTAGACACTACCTGTTTCTCTTGCATCCATTAGCTGTAAAGACTCTGTGTTTGCAGTCAGAATACTGCTGATCCATGCTGATGACTCTGTTACTGGATTATCATTGTTAGCATCAGCCATCTGTTATTTTGCAAGAAGATAAGATGGACAAGGAGGAACACAGAAAACAAATGCCTAAGTTACTCGTACCCAAAACATAATGTGTGGAAATATCCACAGATCCATCACACACACAAATACTTAACAGGAAAGAGTAAATACATAGATAGGAAATACATCCATTTACATTATGAGAAAGACTCTTTAGAAACAGCTAGCCTGTCTCCGTCAATACGTAATAAAATCTGTCTACCAGAACCATTTTAAAGCTCTCTAATTAACAATGTTGCCTCGTTTGTTAATCCTTTTGGTTAGACACAGTCTGCATGCTAGTGTGCACATTTTCTCTCAGAGCCAGGCTAGCTGTTACACCCCGGTTCCAGTCTTTATGATAAGTAGGTGGGCAACGATAAGTAGATTAAATGATAAACCATTAATTGACAAAATTATCAGCAGATTAAAATAATTCTTAATTAAAGACCTTATGAGCAAATCATAATTTCTGGAACGTCACATTTATTAATTTAAGATAATACACCACTGAACAACTAACTGAAAGCTTTCATTTGATATGATGCGTTTTAACAATAAGAGCCAGTTCAGCGAGGGACCAAATAAAAGAGGATGCTGGGCTTTTGTTTTAAAGAGGAGGTAAACAAAGGTAATTGTAGACAATGGAAAAAAAGTTTAAAAAATAACACTTTGCCCACTTTATATGCATTAAGCCCTATGATTTATGTATAGCCATGTTTGTATCTGGTCCAACATTTTGGGTACAGGCTAGTTTTGCCTGTTAACATATATATATATATATTTTCACCTAATTTTATTATACACGCCAGTTTGTGTACACAAAATGTCAAGAAAACGATTGCATTATAGCAATTTATACACAGACAAATATAAAATCTACCATGAAAGAAATGTGAATCTGGGCCTAGAGACGAGGATTCAGGCTGAGATACTGCGTCCTCACAACCCTTGCATAGTGTCGTGCTTTAATCATATTATTCGTTGGCGTATTTACTAAGTTATAAGCTTACAATAAAATGATTGATTGCATTTTTGCGCTTTGTCTCATTAGAATGTCATTCTGTTCTTTCCAGAGAAGCTGCGGCATGCTTCATATCTGTGAAATGATTCAATCAGTCATTTGTTCTGTAAATCCTATCTGTTGTTTCAGCCTATGCTATTAGCATATACATGCTTTTCTAAGAAGTGTATCCTGCTGTTTGGGATGTATGCACTGTTTATCTTTACCTCACATGCTTACATTAGCTCGAGATGGTGTACATACATTCATTAAATACATTTGAAAGGGTAATGTAGATTATAAAACACCCAGATTTGCTCAATTCTGGTAATATCCGAATATCAGCTTTGTAAATGCTGTAAAACATTATCTCCCTATAGATCTGGTTTTTACATTAACAAAGGAAAGACAACCTTAAACATTATACAGGTCTCATATTAATCTCATATTCAAACATTTAAATATGCAGTATTTTAAAGAAACAATTCTAGAAGATCATATCTGCACATAATGTTGTAAAATGAAGATGTCAATTAACATTAGGGCCTAAAAATGTAGTGTGCAGAATCTATTCGTGACACCATTTATGCTTTGATCCTTCCAAAATGATTGCCACTTTGTTAAATGTTTAATTCAATTAAAACCGATTCATACTTTAAGTGATTCACAGGAAAGGGTTTTTGAGTGGACCATTAGCATAGTGGACATCTTTGAATGACAGGTGAAGCGTGATGGTGCAATGTCAAATTGACACCAAATGTTTTCTTTTTTCTCTTTCTTTTTTAATGTACCCTTATAAATATGAAAGCACCTTTGTTCTTTTCTCTGCACAAAAGCCCACTCACGCTACGGCAGGAATCAGTGGCCTTTCCAGCGAAGCATGGCTGCAGCTTTCATGTCATTTACGTCTCATCAGGGCTGTTCCTGGTGAGGGATGATACTTGATATTCAGACGCTAGCTTTGTCTCCTCAAATTAATCAGCTGCTGCTGTCTTTTCTTGTGCAGGGGAGAATCACCTTGGAGATCTAGAAAGTGTTGGTGTAATGTTCAATACCATAACAAAGGCAGGCTGTAAAACACAATCTGGGAACGTAAGGAGGATTTTAGATGTGGGCTTTTGTGATCAGGGGGATGTGAAGTGGCATAAATAATGGAAAATCCAGGAAATGTGGGGCTGATTAAGGAGCACAGTAATACTCTCTCTGTGGCGTGATTTGGACGAGGGGCAGAACAACAGTGGTCTGAGAGTCATCAGAGTAAATGGCGCAGACTGTGATTACTGCTCTTGTTTGTTCATCCGTATGGACTTGATGTAAAGATTGTGGAAGGAGAAAGAAAATGTGTTCCTGGGACACTGAAGATAGGCTGCTTGCTTCATTAGACAGTTTTACATGAAAGGGCTGTGAAGCTCTTTGATATGACCAAGCCGTCACAGCACCTTGTGCACTTCACTGTTCTGCGTCTGTGTGTGTGCATGTGGTGGATTAGATGTGTTGTGGGTGTGAGAGTCTGTCACTTTAAACTATACAATCCTGCATATAAATGCAACTGAATCCCATTTTAAATCTTTATGTTGATTTGTATTATAATGAACTAAGAATAATTAAAGAAAAATCTTCAAATATCTACAAGGAAACTTCCAAATAACAAGAAATTCAACGATAACACAGTATTCATTGATCTAGGGCTGTAACTAATTGTTGATTATTTCATTTTACAATTCATTGATTGACCATTTACTCAATAACAAGTTGGATGGTGACGTCTTGAAATTGAACAGAGAAATAAACAAATCATGACATTAAAGAACTTCTCGGCAGCATAGGGATTTCTACTTGACTGTAAATATGTTTGAACGAAAAATAGTTTTCGGTTGATTGTTTAGTCGACAAATCATTTTGTCCCTAATCATACCATCACCAAACAATACCTCTCAAAGTCATTAAAAAATACCAATAAATGATCAGCCTCAAAGGACTCGTACACATTGAGAAGTAATCCAGATGTGCGTCGGAGAGAAACTAAGTCTCAGTGGGGTGTGTGGCTTTTTTCGTTGTTGCTCCCCTTCTTTTCTCCTCATGCATCTCTAAGTGTTGGATGGATTGTGTTTGACAGATATGGAGTTTGGAGAGCGGCTGGCCTCCCCATCTTCAGCCCTGTCCTCCCTCCACATGGCCTCCTCTTCAGCCAGCTCCTCCCCTGCTCCACCCCAGACCCCCTCCACAAAGTTTAGCCCGGCCCCCAGTCCCGCGGGCAGCTCCCCCCTCACCAGCTGTGGTATGTACCCACTAATTAGATGTGCAAAAAAGCCTCAAAGTGAATCGTTAAGATTTCTTTTTTTTAGTTTCAAGTGGATATTTAGTATCATTCGGACTGATATTGAAGAAGGTTGATTTATTCTAGGTAGGTCCGTGTGCAAACTGCATTAGTAGTCACTCATAAAAAAAACAGAATTAAAGTCACAAGCTGTTAATGAATGTAAATGAATGCACCATTCCGACTGACTTTAAAATCAGTATGCACTTTATAACCACACTTCCACACATACTTTTAAAAGAAATATTCATTAAGAAGAAGCAAATCGATTTAGAGGAGACGTCCAAGTAGATTTTGTGGGAAACATTGAATTAAAATTGTGCAACAAAAGGGGGGCTTAAGTCACCCTCTCCCAGTCTTAACATGTTACAGACTATTTTGATAGGAATGGAAAGGCTGTTGAATTAATGAATGTCCACAATTAAAAGGCTTTGTACACCCTTGTGAATATCTTTTGACAACCTTTAGCTCCAGTTTATCCCGTGTGATTTGACATGTCTGTCAGCCTCACAGTGTGCATGCAGCCGCCAACATCCTCTTGTTTTCTCTGAATACTAATTGTGGTCAGAGCCATTATGCATCGAGAAGCGGTGATGCATAAGCTGTCAGATTACCCCTGACCACAAAATAATGTGCAAATTTACATACTGTGGTTTGTGATTATTTTTTTTTCCTTCATGATAAGATGCCCCAAAAAGTAGTGTTTTTTTTGTCGTGCTTTCACAAAGGAGAACACATTAGAGACGTTCTCATAAATTATTCATTTTCATACCCCCACACCAAACGTGCACAGAAATGTCCTAGATCATTTAGTTTGGACTGAACACTAAATACTGAAAACACATTGGCACCTGTGTAGTCACATCGTTCCTATGATTATCGAGGAAATGGAGTACTTTCGAGAGATTTCTTATACCTTGTTGGGAATGATATCACAAACCAGCGATGGTAACACATAGGATTATACTCAAGCTTTCAACCTCTCGAAAGCTTTGTAATTGCTCCAACTGGGTGAGTGTATACTGTGTCTAAAAAATCATGGTTATTCAGCACTACACGTCTAATTCCATTTTGTCACCCAAGAAAAAGCATAACCTGGTTAGTTTAAAGAATTGGTGATTGAAGTCACAGTTCTAGTAGAGCAGGAGTATTTTCTATGAAGCCAACGCTAAAACATTTGCAGACTCTTTGAACTATGAGGGCTCTCAAAGACTTTATTGCAATCTTAACAACAGTAAAACATTATTTGTATATCTGCCCACTCATTCTGACATGCTTTTTGGACCTCTCTGTTCTTTGTAGATAGTGAGAATACCCGAATGATAGATATGTAAATCAATAGATTATATTTTAAGGAGTGTTTGAACTGTGTCCTTTTTGTTCTGCAGGAAATCTGCTCCGGGTCGCCGGAGAAGAGCGTTTAAGTATGTCTGGCAGCTCCAATGGTTTTCCTTTGGTTAGCCATCCGGCTTTCGGGCTCTTCGCGTCCAGTTCAGGTCGCTCTGAGTTTGGAGGCCTAGGAAGTCTGGGTTTGTCTGCCCTGGCTGCTCACTCACAGTTTGGTGCATTTCCAGGTAGGCAATGCAATGAGGAAACTCCACAGCAACACTAATAAAAGATTGAGATATACATACTTTAATGTCAAAAAGGATCAAAGAAATTCTCGATGGTATCGGATTGCATGCTTTTAAACGTGATATCCTGACACTCAGCACAAAGCAAATGGAGGTTGAAGATAGCAGATGGTGTTTCAGAAGAATGCTACTCTTGAGAAACGGTTGCAGCTGTGAAGTGTCTGGTAGTAACTAGCCAAAAGAGAACAAATCATAGTCATTGGAATGCCCTCGTTAACAATGCAAAACGATAACTATACCCATAACTACTAGTTACTCTACTAAGTGATGTGTGCTGTTGACAGGTTGAACAGGTAGCTATTTGTGGCTAACTGTGGATGGTATTTTTGCTCCCCCACTCCAGACTGGTGGCGGCACTCTGAGACACAAACCATAGGACCAGCAGCCTTCTTTCCTCCTCTTCTGGGTCTGCATCCTGTATTTGCATCAGCCTTCAAAAGCCACAATCAAATTCTCTTGCAGTCACGTACCTCAGGTAAAAAAAAAAAATCTAGCTCCTGCAATGGGTCATACATAATATTTCAAAGTAATGCACTCTAAAATAAAAGATTCCATCAATTATGAGACCTATTGTCTTGCTTGTTCTCATGAATATCCATCTAACAAAATGCACAATGTGTGTTTCTGTAGGCGTTAATGGAGCAGCGAATGGTAGAAGCACATCTTCTCCAAGCGAGAACTCTGCTGGGAACACCAGTTCATTACCAACAAAGGGAAACTCGGGAAAAACTAAAGCCAACAATAGTCGGATTCAAAAGAGCAGCCAGGAGCTGGGCCAGCTGCAGCAGAAGATCACCCTGAAAACAAAAGACAAGGTTAACACTGTTTTTGCTCAAGCACTTGAGTACAATACGCTGCATGGAAACTCCCTAACTGTTCTGTTGTTCACCATCCCTTTGTTCCTGGCACCCTTTCTCTCATTTAACTTGACTAAAAAAATGTGGACTTTTATTATGATTTTAGAAACTCAACAAAAGACCACTAGAGAGCTCCAGCATGAGTGGCAGCCAATCGGGATCATTGTCAGATTGCTCCTCCAGCGATGGTGAGGAGAGCAGCAGTGATCCCGACGACATGGAGGAAGAGGAGGATATTGATGAAGATGATCAAAGCAATGACAGTGAGGACTTTGATTCAGAAAAATACATTCAAGTTGAAAGAAAAGTCAAGGTGAGTAATAACATTTTTAAAAGCTTGACAAAGATTTTCCTTTTTTTTTTGTTGCTTTTAGAAAAATGTGCAGTAATTCAATGGTGAATAATTAATATGTCTAGGCTTTGTGTCTGACCATTTGCTCTCTATTCAGTCAATGTTAGTTGGATTGTTAGAAGCAGCCATGGTGGTGGGCGGCAGACTGGATGTATGTGCTAGCTGACAGAGCTGCCACTGTGAGGCTCTCCCAGTAGGAGCTGACATGACATGCTGTCTTTTCCTCATCCTCCTACTCAGCGGCTGACACAGAACATTTCTGAGGGTAAAAAGAAGAGACCTCACTCTGCTGATGGGGATCCAACTGGAGACAGACATGGTGACACTGTTCCCTTGACTTCCCCGTACCACCTGCAGTCCTCTCTTCATCCCGCTGGCCTGTCACAGTCTGCAGCGCTGTTCCTCCACAGCTCCAGGACTGCGGAGGAGGAAGGCCAGCAGCACATCAGCGTTATCCAAGCCACAGGGTTGGCAGGTGGCAACGGTCCCCTGGCACCATCCCACAGGGAGGCCTCACCTCTGCCCTCCAGGTCCTCACCCAACCTTCTCCCTCTCTGACTCACCTAAACACTTTTCTCTTACCTCATTTCCTTCGAAGCCTCTGTCTCTTTGTGTCTCACCAAAGCCTCTCTCCATCTTTTCTTTACTCAGACCACCAACTCTGTTATCTTCAAAGCCTCGACATAAACCTAGGTTTCTGATGCCCTCTCTGAATCATGCCCAGCTGCTTGATGGCACGAAGGAGAGCAGTGCAAACGTCCCAGATGAAAGACTGTTACAAAGTTTTAAATTAAAAACGGTGAGTTATGTTGTTATTCACATTGCTGAGGTTATTTTTTATCAGAATCCTGCCTGAGGTTCAAAAAACAATTCACACACATTAAGGGCTTTTATTATACTACATGTAGTCCTACGAGAAGGGACAATGCATTTAGCTCTATCGGGAATACTTCATAAAATTGACAAGCAATTAGCTCTGTTACGCTTTGGGATGTTTGTTATCAGGAGAGGAGAAATCTGTCTCTTTTTAAAGGACTGCTTCATTTTTCATCTTTTTCAAAATAATGACAATAACAGTCTGTAACAAGAGTGTTTTAATTCATATGATGGTGGTACATTAAATACAGGCTTTCTTTTTGAGTATGACAATGGCAACAAATACAAGATGACAGCTAGAGTCGCACAATGGCACCAAGCCAAATAATTTGAAAACATTTTCCACAGCAGCCTTTTTGTCTTTCCTGTGGTTGACAGGCATGAGACTGCTCTTCATTGTCCCTTCCTCTTATTGCACCTTACATTTCATCATTCACAGCCCACAGTAATGTAATGTGAGTGACAGTTTGTGTAATTACTTTCTCTTTCTTTCCCTTTGTTTCCCTTTTCTTTTACATTTTACTCGTGAAGTCCAAGGATTCCATCAAGCAGGCATTGTCTCTGCAACCTAAGAGCCAGAACTCCTATAAACGTCTCAAAAGTTCAGCCTCATCATCGCTGACTCAACATAAACATTCGTCGGATACGTTGAGCAGTCACTTAATGTCTCTCCCACACATCAATGACACCAATCTGTTCCTGAGCCACCACCTTAACGGAATGATCCACGGCGCAGTGCAAGATGCTCCTTTGGCCCTCATCACTAAACCCCGCAGCCAGAGCAGCACCCCCTGTAGCAAACCCCCACTAGTAACCACCAGCCCTCCCTGTCCCATGCCCATCAACCTGAGCACCGGCAGCTCAGATTCAACCCCTAAATCTTCAGCCTCACCCGGCGGTGTTCGCAGACAGAGGAAGTCGAACACTCCCAAGTTCCTCCCAGGAAAGAGCCTCTCTAAAAGCAGCACTTCCTGTCCACCTGCAGACTTGGTCAGAAGCAGTGAGTCTGATATCCACAGCAGCAGCAGGGACTCGGACGACTCTTTAGGAGATGACTTTGATGATGATGATGATGTTGAGGATGAAGATTCTGGCAGTAGCCTGTCAGGTAAGATTAAACGGACCTTTCCTTAATTGAATAAATGAATGCCATTGACAACATGTTATTGCAGACGTAAGATGCTAGATGGGGCTTGGATACGAGTAGAATGCTAATGAGGTTATAATTCTTGCCCTCTCTCTGTTTACTTGTGTCACGCTGGGATCCCTGCAGAGTCGGAGAGCAATCTTGATAGCGACTCTGATGGCTCCGAAGATGATGCGAAGGAGCGTGGCGAGACGGAAGCAGACAGCGATGCAGAGAGGACTCCCCTGAAACTCACCAAAGCGACCTTGTCTACTCACAAGTCCTCCTCGAAGCTCTCAGCAAACGGCAAACTGCTTAACCTGAAGATCGTCAAGCCTCCTAGCTTACCCAGTAGCCTACTCACCTCCACCAGCTCAGGAGCACTGAGTAACCATGGCACTCCATCGTCATCCTACACGTTTCCCACACTGCCAGGTAACAGCGCTTCAGCTAACACTTTACTTGGATACTTAAATGTGTGATCCAGGCCTCAGGAAAGTGTTACTCACTCAGATAACAAAGTTAGATCATCAGTGAAGTCAGCATGGTATTTATCTTGCCAGCACTCACTTTGCTTATACAGATTATACAGCCATCAGTGGAAAAATAAAAAAAATCAACGTTCTTTCCATTACCAATACATGATCGTCTCAATAGTTCTAGGTTTAAGTAAGCTCTCTGGAAGAAATCTGATGCGTCTTCGTTTTGATGTTCCCCAGGTGCTTTTGCTTTAATAACTCAGACAAATGCTGACATATCTGATACTGGATGAGTCATGGAGCATAGTACGCTACCAACAGAGATTCTGCCTTGCCTTAATGGAAACTTTTTTTCCTTCTATTTAATAGCACTTGAAGAGTCTTGTCTCTGTGATATGCCATGAATTACTTTGGCTGATCTTAATGAAACATTTATAAGCACTTCTCTTATATGTCCAACAGGGTCTCCTTTTTGTGATAATGGCCCCCCTCCTTGTTTTGTGTTGTGGAAATATCTGTAAACTTGGCAGGTTTGTTGATTTGCTAAAGTCCCTCTGGAGGTGTGAAAAGCGCTGAGTCATTTCCCCTGTTTTTCTAGGATCAGGGAAAAGGAGGAGAGTAACGGATGAGAGAGTTCTGCGGATGCCTCTTGAGTTCGGGTGAGATATTGGTGCATGCACTTCATATTAAAAGGCAAACTTTAAGGTTTGACAGTCTGACCATGTTCCATTCGTCTTCACTGTTATACTTCCTGCAGTGTTTGTGTTTATGCAATTGGTGTTGTAGTAAAATGTCAGCTCACTGTGGGTTGACGAGTGACCTTTCCTCAAAGGTTGCCTGCGGTCATCCTAACTTTGTGATCACCAATGTTTAACGCTATCCTATCTCAGGCTTAGCCACATACAACAGACGGTGAATTTTAGAAACTTTATTTGGGATTAAGAACATTTAATATGAAACAATCACGCCAGATTGAAAATGGAAAAAAAGCAAGTGCTGTTACCAAGGCACTAAAAGCACGATTTCTATCTGTGGTCTTGGCAGATCAACATATAAAAGTGGGTTACTATGAAAATCAAACCAGGCAAGAATGCGCTAATCATGCTTTGACAATTTCCCCAGGGTAAATACTGTACATTTTACCTTTTTTAAAAGGCACCACTAGAGTTATTTATGTATTTATTTATTATTTATTTATTTATGTAACAACAGTGATGTCTTCACAAAGAGCTTAATATGAAAAGACCACAACAAAAAAAACCTTACCTCCCTTTTAGAGTCCTTAAACCTCGTCTTGAACAGTAGGCAGGAAATGGAATGAGGCCCAGCACTTCAGCATCAATGGGTTAATTGCATCCAGCCTCAACACAGACATGCAACATTTGCAGCTCCCTGCCCACAAATTGTGCAGCCTTGGATCAGAGCGCCTTTCATCTTCTAGGGATGTTTTTCATCAGTGTGTTTGCAGGAAACAGAGGCCATCAGACTGTATGTCAGCCCCTGCTCTGTGTGGGATAACAGCCTGTACGTCCTGTGTGAAAGCCATGGCTGCTCTCCAGCGGAGCTCATGGGAACTGAGGGGTAGCCCGAGTTGGCGTCTGGCCATTTAGGAGTGTGATTGACGAAGGGTCAGAGGACGACAAGGCCACAGACGACTCCACTGTACAGGCGGCATTTACATAGCTTATCTCCTTGTTTGCTGTTGTGACAACATTGATCCTACAATGTTATTAGAGGGAACTTATGTGAGAGAAACAAGCTTTAGTGGATGTATATAGATTGATGAGGATTGAATACAGCTGCACAGAGGATATAACAAATCAATTTGATTCAATTCAAGGCTTTATTGTCATGTGCACAGTAGCTACAGTGTAGACATGGCAATGAAAAACTGAAGTCACAGGCACCTCCAACAGTGCAACATGAATATATATATATATATAGGACATAACACAGATACAATAGTGCAAGAGAATGTTTTGATGTTCAAGTATATAAAAGCACACAACGAAATGTAAACAAACACTGAAATATAAGGATAAAAAGATTTGGAGAGGAGCCAAAGACACGGCAGCCATCATCACCGGCGCCATCTTTCCATGTAAATGATACCATGTTCAGTTTGCTTTAGTTTGTTTTTTTACGTTTTTGTTTCTCAGGTGGCAGAGAGAGACCAGAATCAGGACTGTGGCAGGTCGTCTGCAGGGAGAGGTGGCTTACTTTGCACCATGTGGGAAGAAGCTGCGTCAGTACCCTGATATAATGAAGGTAACTCTACTTTGTGTAGCTTCACTTCTTTGGTACATTAGCTAATAGATGTAAAGCCTTAAAGGTTTACACATTGCTCACTGCATTCTTTTAGCATTATGTAAATGCCCTCAGGTAAGACATGACGAAGTGTGTGGTGACTGACTGATTTAGATGGATCAAATGAAGTACTTTAATTAATATGTATTATTCTTTTGTCTGCAGTACTTACTCCGGAATGGGATAACTGAAATCTCGCGGGATAATTTTAGCTTCAGTACAAAAATTAAAGTTGGTGACTTCTATGAAGCCAGAGAAGGACAAGAGGTAAATGTTGCTACTTCTTATTTGTGATTAAACACTGTAGGATGTCAACATGCATTATGACATTGTTTTACTTTTACATCTTAAATTATTCTCACATACATTTCAGTGTAATAGTTTTGCCATGTGTCCAATGTGCACGTTAAAGCTACTATTTGTTATTGATTTAACAGCCTAACAAATCCTGCACATCTTTGTTTTGAAAGCTAAAAAGAGATTAAACACTTTGATAAAATAGTTCATAGAATGACACGTTTTTTCAAAATATCTTTTAAGAAAGATTAGTTTGCGGGTATCCATACAGGAAAATCACAACACATGCATTCTGAGGCATATTGTTTACTCCCTACACAGCTCTACTGGAGCTTTAAGTAGTTATGCTTCTATATACAAATCCATACATTAAATCAATAAGTAGATAAGCAATTTATTTCGTTTCTATATTTGTCCTAATCTGCCTGTCTTCTCCATCTGATGACCCAGGGTCTGCAGTGGTTCTTGCTGGCAGAGGAGGAGGTCGCTCCCAGTATCATAGCGATGGACGGGAGGCGCAGCCGCTGCCCTCAGTCTGAGCGACGGTCGCTAGGTGACGGCCCCGCAGCCAGGCAGTGGAAACCCTACCCTCTGAATGTTGGGGAAAATAACTTCCAAGATGTCAGTGATACAAAGCTGCTGCGTAAACTGGAGGCTCAAGGTCAGTTCCCTTTTGGAGCGTCAGACCCCTAGTCCAGTGGGAAATGAACCACTAAACACCATCAACTGCTGCCTATGTATTTTATCAGTTGTTTTGGCATTTATCTTTGTGGGATAATTGAATGATTGATTATTAAATGAACACTTAATTATATTTCAGGCTGGAATATTTGAAAAAATATATATACCGGTAATAGAAAATAATGAATGTGCTATCAGTCAAAGGAGTCATTCACTTTGTCTGTTGGGAATTTTATTTCTTTTTCGGCAAATTCAATCAAAATTGAATAAAGGGATGAAGAGAGAGACTGTAAGAATACTGTATAAAAGCAAACTAAAAGTAAAATGATTGATGATTTAAATAATCACTGTTATATCTTCATATGTATGTTATTAATATGATATCTATTTCATTTTCATAAGTATCATGGTTACGTCAATACCAATACATCACAAGACCTTTGCAGAACCATTTGTAAAAGGCCATCAGTTGCTCCTCAAAACTAGGTTCTTTCTATAATCACAGAAGGGCCCGCTACTTTGAATTTGAAATACACACAAAAAGAGATTTAGGGATTGTAAAAAGATCTGTGGGTCACCTTTTTGTTTCTAATGATGCTTGTGATCTCAGTAACTTATTGCATCATGTTGCAGAAATAGCTCGACAGGCAGCTCAGATTAAAATGATGAGGAAACTTGAGAAGCAGGCCATGGCACAAGCAGTCAAAGAGGCGAGGAGGCAACAAGGTAAACGGCTCCTCTCTAATCTCACTCTTCTCTAGCACTGCATCATGACGCCGTGTGCAAGCCTGATTTGTTTTTATGTTTCAGCAATAATGGCTGCCGAGGAGAGGAGGAAGAAGAGGGAGCAGATGAAGTTGGTAAAACAGCAAGTAAGGACTTTTCTGTTGAATTGCTTTAGAATTTCTACAAGGAAGATGCTATCCTTTAAATCCTGCACCTTCTCCATCTGCATAGACCCACTGTACTTCTTCCACCCCCCCCCCCCAACCACCACACTCTATAACATGCATGACTTAACAGTTAATTCATTTGATCTTGCCCTCATCCTTTTACCAGGAGAAGATCAAGCGCATTCAGCAAATTCGTATGGAGAAAGAAGTCCGTGCACAGCAAATTGTCGAGGTTCGTCCTAAAAGTTATAGTAGAAACATTCTAAAACACTTCCTTTCTGCTGTTGATGGGATTTTTTTTTAAAACCCAACCAAAGGCTATTCCTAAATGATGTGCTCCCACTTTAAGTCACATCTAGTGAGTACATGTGACTAATGCCTAATTGGTTTTCTGCAAAAAGTGCCATTGAATATGAAAATCTCTTCAGACCGTGATGGAGCTTATTAAAAAAAAAAAAAACGACAGTATTTCATTAAGTAAGAGGTGGCTCAGAGTTTACCATGGCTAGGTGAAACACCTATTTTGCATTCTCTCACTAATAGAGGCTGTAAAGTATTTTAGCTTTTATAAATCAAATTTCAGTTGACACGCTTGGCAAGCAGCTCTTAACAGGATTTGGTTGTGGCTATAATTACTGATAGAAATGTAGCTTAATTTATTCTCTCTGCCTGCTGGTGTTTCATAATAACTGCAGCCATTTTGTCTTTCTATGTTAATGGGGGGAAATAATCATCTCATTGCTTAATATGTTGTTTCAATATGTTAGATGTAACTTTATCAGTAAGCCGCTGGCTCTATTTAGCTTTTTCTTTGTGGAATACATAACATCAAGTGCAACACTTAACTAATCGTTTTTTCTTTTAAACAGATGTATGTTTATTATATTAGAGATAATTTTATTGTTGCTTTATTTTTTTCGCTTCATGTTTTAATTATGAAAAGTATCTCAATTAGATTTTCAGTAATTAGAGTTTTATGTCTCAATCAAATGTCTATTTATAAAATAACATTTCCTGTGGTCAATGTGCTCTAGTGTTTGTTTTAGTGAGTCTATTACTTCCTTAGCATGACCTTTTACCACCTGTTTTACAGGCAAAAAGAAAGAGGAAAGAACAAGCAGTCAATGCCAAAATGATGGAGGCTGAGAGGCGAACCAAGGTGAGTGTAAATGACAAACTGTGATTATAGTCTTCTTATTTATACATTTTACATCTATTTACCTTTTATTTGTATCATTTATTTTGTACAGACTGCTGATAGATGTGTATATAACTGACTGTTTGCACTCTGGTTAGACCCTCCTAATTTCATTACACTCTGCTTGCATTATGTAATGACAATAAAGTAATCTAATCTAGTCAATTTGAGTCTAATTGAGAAATTATGATTATAGTCCATTTTTTAAATTTTTTTTTATTATATTCTCTACCTTTGCTCTGCATTCCCTGAGTGTGAACACGTCATTCTCTACAGTATATTTCATGTGTGTGACATACAAGAATCTTAAATCTAGTTTCTGATTGACTTTAATCTTAAAGGATAAGGAGATACGAAGAATGCAAGCTGTCTTTCTAAAGCACCAGGTATGTTGTTTCTTTATTATTATTATTATTATTATTATTATTATTATTATTATCCACAACCACATTTGATTAAAGCCATTACTCCGTGTCTCTAAATAATGAGCATTTTAGGTGCCCTAATGGAATTATGTTGTACACTTTACCCTGTCAAATGATGCTTTGGGGTTCTCTTTGGCGTATTTTTAATTGAGCTTTCCACAGGTTGGATCATTCTTGCATTGATTTTCCTGTGTGATTTTCTATTTCTTAACTTTGCCAACAATTTCTACCAGGAGTTGGAGAGACATAGACTAGATATGGTATGGGTATGTTTGTTTCTGTACATCTAACAGCATATTGTGAACGTGTTGTGATAAATGGTTGCCATCATAGCAAAGCGTAAAGTGTAGCATCGGCTGCAGTCATACATGCTTCTGCATGGCTTTCCTCAACAGTGCACTGCATTCGTCTGCGCTATTTGTCTTCCAAAGAAAAACACATCCATTATCTGGCCAATCCGATCAAGAGAACGCCTAAACTCCACAGAAAATATAACAGGATGCAAAGCAGTGAAAAATGAAAAACAACAAACTACACACTACTGTCTTTTATATTGATTAAATGTAGCGGCTCAAGATCCTTTTACTCTAAAGCGTGTGAGCAGACATTTGAATACCTGGAAGAAGTCCATATTTGCAGTTTGTGTTCTTGATAGTTATTTAAACCACTGCGTTATAGCAAACACATTTCCTGTTTTTCCTCACTAGAGATTTAAATGTTTTATCATCATTTGTTTCTGTTGCATTATCAGTCTCACTTAATACATCTTAATTGTAAGAGAAGCAATGATGGATTTCATTGTTTAGGTTTAACTGTACATCAGAATCAGAATTCCTTTATGAGTCCCACAGAAATGTATGTTGTTACAGCAAAAAGTGGCATAGCAGGTGAAAAAAGGCATGCGATAATAAAGAATAAGCTAACTTGTAAAAAAAAATAGGGAAGAAAAGCACACATTAGTAATAATTGAATATAAATATAAAAAGTAAACCAGTAAAAAATTAAGAGTTCAGATATTATCATTTCCATTCAATATCCAGTGAGTTCCAGGAGATATTATACATCAGTCGGTAATTAATTATGTGTTTTTCTTGTAACAATTAATACTGTATGTACTAGGGCTGCTCAATTAATCGTATTTTAATCGCGATTACGATTATGAAAATAACGTAATCGAAATAAAACGATTATTTTTTTGTTATTATTAATACTTTTTTTCTTTTTTTTATAATATATATATATATATATATTTTTTTTTTTTAAGTTTATACTTAAAGTTCAGGGTAATCACCTGTTAAAAACATATTGTTCAACATTTTTTTTATCCAATAAATGGATGTTTTCAATGTCAATGAATAATCGCATTTAATAATCGCAATTACAATTATTGACCCAATAATCGAGATTATGATTTTTGCCATAATCGAGCAGCCCTAGTATGTACTGCTTATAGTTCCTCTTGGCCTGTTCCTTTCAGTGTGCCTTCCTGCCGACACGCTCAGATTAATAATGGCTGTTCTAACTGTGAGCTTGTGCTTTGTGTGTGCATCACTACCCGCAATGTGGCTTTTCGTCTATCATTGTGTTCCGTTTGGCTTAACTGTTTGTAACTCTTTAACTACGGTACAACACTTTGATTGTGTGACAAATGGTGATCTGTGTTTCTTCATCTATGCATGTTCATACTGTGAATTGCATAAATATGAGCCCTTTTTCTTATCAGAAAATGTTAGGGACTGTGAATAGAAAATAAACTGTGTGTGTGCTCTGCCAGGAGAGGGAAAGACGCAGGCAGCACATGATGCTCATGAAGGCTGTGGACGCCCGTAAGAAGGCAGAGGTGAGTGACACTTGATCTTTTAATATCCCTTTTTTCCTGCTCATTACTGTGCCTGTGTTGTTCTACATTTCATATTCTGTTTTCCTAGCCATAATAATTGCATTTATTATGTTTCAACACTGTGCTAATTGAGGTCACCGTATGTGTTCCCCACCCTCTAAGCATCATATTTTTGCATCGATGACAATAACACTTTCTCTGCTATAGGAGAAAGAGCGTCTGAAGAAAGAGAAGAAGGATGAGAAATTGTTGAACAAGGAGAGAAAACGAAGGCTCAGGAGACTTGAAGTGGAAAAAGCAAAGGAGCTGAAGAAACCAAATGAAGACATGTGTCTAGCAGATCATGAGGTATTCACACACTGGTACTGCTGGCAGACGAGAACAAGAGTACATGTATGTGAGCGTATAGTCTCCTTCTGTGGAGTAGATGTGTGAGGGGAAGGGTTTTCCCACTAGCATGAGGATTTTTTGACACGGAAATCAATCAGTTTAATCACTGTAAGAGCTATACACATAAAGATTAGACATGCTTTTGACACATATTTTATGGTTTCATTTGTTCACTATCAGATGTACCAAAATAGACTTGTAATATCACTGAAAGCATCTTGAATTGATTAAAATGGAAGCAGGTGTAGGTAAAAATACTGCCACCAAGTGGTTACTCACGCCGCAACACAGACCAGAGTATTACTGATCAGATACTTAGAAATAACACAAATCTGGTTATCCTTTTTGAGATTTCAAGATATCCAGACTTAAAAATACATTTAAAAAAAAAAGTAGTCTGAAACATCAGCACTGTAAGAAACATTTATTTTGAAATTGTATATAAATGGATCCTTGTTGAGACGATATTTATTATTAACCTAATTTTTAAATCTTGTTTGTATCTTGTCTACAGCCACTTCCAGAGTTGTCCCGGATCCCTGGTCTAGTTTTAACAGGAAGTACCTTCTCTGACTGTCTGGTGGTGCTGCAGTTTCTGTGCAGCTTTGGGAAGGTGCTGAGGTTGGACCTAAACCCAAACATGCTCAACCTCAATGACCTCCAGAAGGGGCTGCTCAACACTGGGGACAGTTTGGGTAAAGTGCAGGACCTGCTGGTGAGCATGCTGTCCGCAGCTGTGTCTGATCCCGGCATACCTGCAGGGCACAAGGTGAGAGTGTGTTGTTGAATTATAAAATATTGCTGCTCTGCATTTTACATATGTGTGTATACATCCAATAACAAGCACTGACCTGGGTCACACTTTGTAATAACCTTCATTACTTAATGGTAATTAAACTCTAGTTAATAGTTAAGATCTGTTTAACAAACAATGACAATTAATTACAATGAATAATATTTACTGAATAATTAACTATTATCACAGTACACATATACCTACCATTCATTTGTCCATGACGTGCTGTCAGTGTCATTATGTCTTTACATGATTTAACATTACATTTAATTATTAAACCCCTTCAAATGAAGAGGCTTTCTGAGGCAGAAGATGGCTGTCAACTAAAACATGATATATTTTTTTTTTTTATGATAATCCGCACACATCCCACGGGTCATTTAAGCACTTAAGATTGCTTGAAGAGATAATTGCTCAAAATGTTGGTGTTTTACTCCCATTGCACTCTCATGGGCTCCAACCTAAGCTCTACTCTCAGGTGTCACAGTAAATAACAGTGGAGAGCATTTGTTTGTGAAAAACCACTTAACTCTTTCTTTTTGAAACACCTATTTTTATCAGAATAAGACCGCCTTGGGGGAGAACCTGACTAATGTGGGGATCAACAGAGACAACGTGTCTGAGATCCTGCACATCTACATGGAGGCTCACTGTGAGCAGACACAGCTGGCTGCTCTGGCCCTCAGCCTCAGGACCAAAGCCTTCCAGGCCCACAGCCCCTCACAGAAGGCCTCCATGCTGGCGTTCCTGGTCAATGAGCTCTGCTGCAGTAAGGCTGTGATCAGGTGAGGGTCCTGCCTCCTTCTGAACCTCAGGCAAACTCTCCGTTTGGTAGGGCTGTAGTCTCAATGAACTAAATGTAGAGTAATCCTGGGGATTCTTAATGAACAAGTGTTCCTTATGTGCCTCAAGCAAACAAGTTGATCTCTGCCTGAGAGACCAAAAAATTGGCTTGTTTTATTCATGGGGGTTTTAACATTTGATGTATTAACCGAAGTACCAAAAGGAATAACGCAAATCGGGGTCTGATGGACAGTTTCACAGTGTTGCATCAAATCTTGTCATACATGTTTTAGTATCACTGCTTACACTTTGAAACAGCTGTGGTGCACACTGCAGTGTAGCGTAAAGAAATCGTCTTTGTACAAAAAGGTCACAGGAACATCTGTCTAAATATTGTCTGATGCATTGCAGTGAGATCGACAAAAACATTGATCACATGACCAACCTGAGGAAGGACAAGTGGGCTGTCGAGGGAAAACTTCGCAAGTGAGTATATGCATCCTATATAAGCTATTATCAGATGAAATGTAGCACATGAGACTGACTGTCCATTTTGACTTCAAAGACTGAGGAGCATCCACGCCAAGAAGAGCGGGAAGAAAGACAGTGTGGGAGGAGAGGACAGCCACACCTCTGTCACCCCCACTGCCAGAAACAAATGCAAGAGGAAAGAAGGGGACAGCGAGGAGGAAGAGGACGAGGATGACGACAGCGAGGACCAAGGAGACGACGATGACGATGATGAAGAAGAATCGGGTGGGAAGAAGGGGAAGAAATCTGAAATATGTGAAGAGGAGGTCAGTGACAGCATGATGCTCATAGTGTTTGTTATAGTGAATGTCAGCCGCTACACTGGCCTCTCACTAATGACACCTCTCCATCAGGATGACAGCGTACAATCAGCCAGCACGGAGGAGCTGGAGAAGCAGATAGAGAAAACACACAAAGTGAGTGGAATACTTTTTTCCCCTCATATCACGTCATCAAGGAATTTATAAAGTATAATTGAACCTGTTTTCTGTGTTTCTTTAGCAACAAAGTCAGATCAGACAGAAGCTATTTGACTCCTCCCACTTACTGCGCTCCATGACGATTGGTCAGGACCGCTACAAGAGGCGTTACTGGGTCCTTCCGCAGTGCAGTGGCCTCTTTGTGGAAGGCATGGAGAGCGGTGACGGTGCAAACCTTTATTTCATTTTTTTCGTTTTAGCCTTTAATTATTGTGATAATAATTAACTATTTATTTGCCACTTTTCAAAAACGAGAAATATGATTTACATGTCAAACGATCTAAAAGTGATATAACCTCGAGCAAATGAACTGTATACATGTATGAGAAAATGGCAGTTAGGAGATATATGACATTTTTGTACGTTGCCTGAGCTACCTTTTCCTGTCACTCAGGTTCTGAAGAGGAAGAGCAAGAGGAGAAACAAGTGAGAACTGCTCAGACAGTCAGGGTAAAAGAAGAGGAGCAGGAAGAGACAAAGAGCCCAGCACAGAGCAGAGAGTGTGAAACCCCCACAAAGGAGAGCCAGCAGGACAGTCTCAATCTCTTCCTCCAGAGACCCGGCTCCTTCTCTAAACTCAGCAAATTCCTGGAAGTCGCCAAAATGGCTCAAGACTCGGACATCAATTCTCACAATGGTCATTGTTCTAAAATCCCTCCAGCTGCATCTTGTCCCTCATATCCCACTTTTCAGCAGGGACTGATAGATAAAAGCGATACTTCAGTGCCACCTCTGCTCATAAACAGTCCCTGGATGACCTGCAGCCCTCAGTCTATGCTTCATGAGGACCAGCTCTCCAAGATGCTGATGGAGCAGCGCAACCAGTGGTTCAGCCTTTTGCCTCGCTCCTCCTGCGACGAGTCCTCCTCCTCCACCCCCGGCTCCAGCCCATCAGCCTCCGCCTCTCCACTGCAGACCGCCAGCACTAAATCCCCCCCCTCCCTCTCCCCTAATCCCCTAGCTGCAGCCAGTTTCAGTGCTTCTGCTGGGATTAATAACATGCAGCTGTCTGTCCTTCAGGTCGGTTTTCAACAATAAGTCAAAGTCAGCTTTATTGTCAAAATTACTACATGTGTTTTATACATCCAGAAATCTCGAGATACCGTTTCCCACAGTGTGACATATATACCGTAATTTTCGGACTATAAGCCGCGCCTTTTTTCCCATTTTTCGACGCTGCGGTTTATATAACGGTGCGGCTAATCTATGGATTTTTACAGCTAACGGCCACTAGGGGACCTCCTTAATCTATGGATTTTACAGGTTACAGTCCACCACCTTTAACTCTATGGGCTCTATGGGCTTTAAGCGGCGGGCTCCAGCAGGAAAAGCTGGAGGCTGGAAAAGAGTGAGACAGGTAGCGCGCAAAAGTAAAAGTGGAACCGAGAGCGGTACGAGAGACAGAACGAGAGCAAGACAGACAGACATTACGAGAGCGAGACAGTTTGTCCCCGTACCACTGGTTGAAAACCACTGCTGTAGATCACTGCCGGTACGTGCGCTGGGAGCGCACCGTTTAAGTTTGAAAGTTGAAAAGTTTGTGTGTCTGAAACGCTATGTGATACAGTACAGTTTACACAGCACAGTACATGTTCTGTAGCTACTATTGCACTAAATGGTAACACTTGAATACGTTATGCAAATATGCAACTTGTTTGTTGAAATGTTAATAAATGGGAGCTTCCTCAAACAGCCATCTCTTTCCCGACAATCCCCTCTGTGCACGAACCCTTACATATGGTAATTAAACATTAAAACACCTGCGGCTTATAGTCCAGTGCGGCTTATATATGTACACATCATTCAATTTAGCTGCTGCGGCTTATATTCAGGTGCGCCTTATAGTCCGAAAATTACGGTACATAAAACAAAACAAAAAGGGCCTAGATAAACCAGTAACGATTATTTGAGATCACGCTGTGCTTTTTATTAAAGGTCCCCTATTATATGGTTTTTCATCAATATATTATAGGTCTCAGATATATACAAAACATGTCTCTGAAGTGTTTGGCTCAAAATACCAAACAGATCGTGCATTGTAGCATCCCATAATCCCCTCTGTTTCAGCCCTGTTTCAAAAGTGCTGATTCTGGGTCCGTTATTTTAGATGAAAATAAGGAGTCACTCCCCACGCTCCTCTGAGAGATATTTGGTTAAAAAGAACACAATGGTGCTCTAGGAGGAGATTCAGGTGATAAGGTGGGGGGGGGTTAAACAAGCCAACAAATCGTTATGACGTCATAAAGTGACCAAAATCTGATCAGCTCATTTTCAGACAGGTTTTTATATAAATGGATCAGGACAAAAAGACAGAGAATCTTTTTTCCTGAAACTTTCAGAATCTCTGTACACAGAGGGGACACATGTTTATGTATAAAAGACATGAAGAAGTGAATTTTGCATAATAGGCGACCTTTAATACACTTGTTGGACTGTTTAACTGCAACATCCTTATACATTATGTGTTGATCTGATGGTCATTTAAAGTGTGTGTATTCTCCCCCCCCCCTCAACAAATACAGTCTGGCCTTCATCAAAGCAGACAGTGCAACGTGTCCACAGCAGCGAGTCCCATCCTGCCCTCCTCGGGGTCTTCTCTACCCCTCCTGCTGGATCTGTCCTCCCAGCATGCCGAGGGTAATGGCAACAGGGTCTTCTCCCTGGCAAACACCAGCTCTGTCAACAAGAGCGAGACCCCAGAGCCCCTGAGTGACAGGCCCGAGTGTGCCTCGTCCCCTGCTGAGGAAGTGGCCAAGACCCAGGACTACCCTCGTCCTCAGCCAGTCCCCGAGGGTAAGAACGGCTCACTGCCAGTGCGCACAAGTCAAATATGGTGGTCTGTTCACTGCCCAGACAGACTGTCACTCAGTTTAACGTTTCTATCTTGCTCAAAAGAAAAAAATAAACCATTTTGTGAGAATAGTTTTTTAATGTGTTTGTTGGCAGAGATGCTGTGTGGCTGGTGGAGGGTGGCAGACATGGAGGAACTGCAAAGTCTGGTCAAGGCCCTCCATAGCCGAGGAATCAGAGAGAAGGCCCTGCAAAAACAGATCCAAAAACATATCGAGTACAGGACCCAGCTCTGTGCCAACAGCAAAGATGGTTGGTGCACATTTTCTCTGCTCTCTTTTTTTGTATTTGTTTGTTTATTTATTTGGTTGTTTTACACATATAAATAGAAATCCCATTGAAGAAAGAAAGGTGTTAAGGATTATATAATAAAGCACACTATAAGGACAACAGGTTAAATTGTGCCAGTACATTTTCAATTTACATTTGACAAGATTTCACATACATAAGTGTGGCAAGGCAAGTGTATTTATACAGCACCTTTCAACACAAGGCAATTCAAAGTGCTTTACAAAAATGAAAGACATTAAGAAAATGGCATTTGAAAACAGTCATTGTGTGCTGTTAATAAATGATAGAAGAAATATCAAACGACATGCAGTGACATTTAAATGACGTTATCAGATCTTTTATTATTTACATTAAATATCATACAGTTGCTTACAGTAAACAGTAATTAGTTTTATGTATGCTGTGGTGGCAGCGATAGATGTGTCAGAGCTGGAGGAGCAGGAGGTGAGCGAGGAGGCGGTGGAGAGTTGGTGTGTGGAGGAGCAGGCCATGGAGGAGGACATCAGCCTACTGCAGCAGGTGGAGGGTCTGGAGAGGAGGGTGGTCTCTGCCAGCCTGCAGGTTAAGGTACCTGTACCCTACTCTCTTATCTTTGTTAGGCTCATATCCAAAGTAGATTTCATGAGTAATTATTCAATGTATGCTTGTCCCTGTCCGGTTCCTTCACTTTGTCTTCATATTAATTACTGTGTCATCAAATGTGATGATGTCTCTCTCAGGGTTGGATGCATCCTGAGCGGCAGTCAGACTGGGAGGATCTGGTCTATCATGAGCACAAGCTCTTATCTTCCCCGGCTGCAGAAAGGAAAGGACAGAGAGAAAGCAGCCAGGAGGAACTTCCTGGCAGTGTGGTGCGACAGCCCGACAATCCTCTTGATATAGCTGTCATCAGGCTGGCAGAGCTGGAGAGGAACATCGAGCGAAGGTACGGAGGAAAAAAACCAGCTCTTTAAGAACAACCTTCAGATCAGATGGGATAAGGTCACTCTAGCTGCTCCTCACTGTGGTGCATCGGTGAAGTGCAGGTTCATACCGAACTAGGGCTGCATTTAGCAAGTATTTTCATTTTCAAATGATTTGCAGATTATTTCTCTAGATTCATAGATTAATTGTTTGGTCTATAACACGTCAAAAGATAAAAGAATTCCTATAAGATAAGATAGGACTTTATTTAGGGCTGCTCAATTAATCGTATTTTAATCGAGATTACGATTATGGCTCGCAACGATTACGAAAACAACAAAATAAAACGATAATTTTTTTATTATTATTATGTTTTTAAATTTAAAAAAAAATGTTGGTTCAGGGTAATCAACTGTTAAAAACATACTGTTCACATTTTTTCTCTCCAATAAATTGATGCTTTCAATCGAATTTAATAATCGCAATTACAATTATTGACCCAAATAATCGAGATTATGATTTTTGCCATAATCGAGCAGCCCTAACTTTATTTATCCCGAAGGAAATTGTTGTGCCAGAGTTATACAATAAACGCAGCAGCATCCCATCCCAGTTCCTCAAAGTCTCATTTTATTTTTGATATGTCTTGTTTCGTCAGTTCATCACCCAACAATGTGAACTTTGATATATTATACATTAAAAAACAAACGAAGCAGGAACACTCAATATTTGAGTGGTTAAATAAACCAGCCTTATCTGGGATTATTAAATTACTTTAAAGAATAATTATTAGCAAAATAGTTAGTGATTGTTTTTCTTCCACACTCGTTTTAGACATTTTTAATCTCACAGTATTCTTCGTAGACAAAGGTCTTATGTTAGCACTTATCATCCTTTAGTTCGATAATGTCCCAGACTGTAGTGACTGCAGTCTCTCTTTCTGTAACCTCAAAGCAGAGAGGAGGAGGTTGCCCCGGGGATGAGGTTGTGGCGTAAAGCCCTCGGTGAAGTCCGCAGCTCGGCTCAGCTGTCGCTCTGCGTCCAGCAGCTGCAGAAATCCATTTCCTGGGAACGATCCATCATGAAAGTGGTAACGGTCACTCTCGCTCTCATAATCACAGAAGAGTTTAAATCCTTTCATCAGATATAAATTCAGACACCAATTTACAGCATAAGTCTCATTACATCTTATATTAATATCGAATACAAATACTAGTACACAAGCCTCTAGAAGGCAATTAAAGATAACACAAGAAATCTGTACACTCCATCATTACCATTATCAGATAATAGGCAATCATTAACAAATCAACATCATGCAATATGCCTGACAGCACATAATTGCATAAATCACTATTTTTCTTTTACCTTATGATTCATTTTCACTTCAGCCTTCCACAGATGCAATGCAGTTTGACATAATTTCACTTTTCACCATTGACTTAACAATATTTCTCACTACCTTGGCATCTATCCAGTATTACTACAATAAATTGTTCGAATTTAATAGGGTGAACATGAAATCCAATAAGGCAAATTTAAAATGCATTAGTAGTTTGACCTCACTCCCGTGAACATATATCTGGTGTTTCCAGCACTGCCAGCTCTGTCATAAGGGGGATAATGAAGAGCTGCTGTTACTCTGTGATGGCTGTGACAAAGGCTGCCACACTTATTGCCAGAAACCCAAGATCACCACGGTACCGGACGGTGACTGGTTCTGTCCCACATGTGTAGAGAAGGTACACCAGAATCCACTATAACAGTACATCTAATTGACACATGATGATATAGCCGTATCATGAGTGATTATAATATGATATGTTTAGTGTGTCTCTTCACCAGTCTCCTGTGTGCTCTGTCATTCAGGAGAGCGGTCTATCCCCCCGAGGTAGGAGGCAGCAGAGCCGAACAGCTGGAGGAGGGAAGAAGGGCAGTGAGGTAAAACGAAACGGTAAACCATCTGTGGTGGGAGAGCTCATCAAAGAGGAGGCTGCCGGCAGCAACAGCGTGCCAAAGAAAGGTACCAAGGAGTTCAAAAAGAGGAGAGGAGACGACAGCCCCCCCGGATCCCAGGCCAGACATGACAGTCCTGTCCCCTGTGTGAAGAAAGCCAAAACGGCCAAAGACAGCAACACAAATGGACTGACGAAGTGCCGGTACGATCAAACACATCCTCACTGCAAGCATAGCAGCATTTCCTCTTATCACTGTTTGAAATAAAGTTATTTTTTAACTATTCTCCTGTGATACATTTACAAGAAAGAAACTCCCCAGGCAGTCATGAACCAACATGACAATTTCATCCTGTCCTTTTATATCGTATCTAATATGTTTCAAAACGTTTCTTTATACTAGTGTCACTCAATTGAAATGATTTTCCATTCAACTTTCATTTGTTCTCTCCAGAGTGCTGCTGGCGGAGCTGGAGGCTCATCAGGACGCCTGGCCCTTCCTCACGCCTGTCAACCAGAAAGCCGTCCCTGGATACAGGAAGGTCATCAAAAAGCCCATGGACCTCTCCACCATCAGAGAAAAGCTCACCAACAACCAGTATGTGTGTTACTCTCATACCATGTGATATCATTTGTATTTCATACTGTATAGTGTATATCATAAATGTCTGATTTTTTTGTTCCTTCTCTTAAACGTACCACACTTTAATCTCTAAACGTTTTTCCTGAAATGTAACCCCCTTCCCTGGCTATGCATTTTTGTTTTAACTATACTGCTCTTATCATGCCGTCTTACATTATATGTATAACATCTATATATTTCCCATTTTTAAATGTCAATGGTGCATATAAGTAAACAAATCCCTTTCTCCTGATACAGGTACTTGAATCTGGAAACTTTCATCGCTGATGTGAACCTGATTTTTGATAACTGTGAAAAATTCAATGAAGATGATTCAGAAATTGGACGAGCTGGCCACAGCATGAGGAGGTTTTTTGACAAACGATGGACTGAACTGCTGGATTGAAAATGTTTCAGTGTTGACTTTCTACGCTCCTCTACATATTAAACTTCATCTTTGGTGTGGGAGGACTTTTTCTTCACCTGAGACACTAAGTCCATAAACGGGTTTAAATGACACTGATTTGCAATGTGAAAGGACACATTCTCCAGAAGGGAAAACAACTTCAAGCATTAATATCTGAAAGTGCAATACTGTTTTCTTCATCAAAATGCACTGACTCTTGTACTCAATATTGTCATTGGGAATTAAAGATGGCCATAGTAGATAGGCCTTCGGCTTTTTTTTAACATCATTACTTTAGTTTATTGTATATGCGTGTATTTATTTTTTGAAGTATTTATGTTACCGTCAGTCTCATCTAAGAAAAAAACAGGAAATGGCACACAGCTTTAAAAAAAAAATCTAAAGATTGTTTTAGGGACGATTGAACAAGCCAATCAAAAAAATGTTTACAGCTTTTGACTTTAGGTTGCCAGCAGTTCTACTGTTATTTGTGTAATATACAAGGAGGTATCACTGTCACTATTTACAGGACTTATTTCTTAGATAGTGTGTAAATACAGTACAGTCTTGTTAAAATATTGTCAATGCATAAGGATGATTGTAGCACTTCATGTGTCTCATACTGTACTCTGCCTGTGCTGAATACCCACTCACAACACTGCTCTCCTCAGTATTGTAGTGCCTGACCTCTGACCTCTAAACAGTGTATGGAGTGGTGCGTTGTTTTTCTATGTGTACTGTACGTGTGTCCTGCACAGTATACTGTATAGAGCCCTTACCCAAAATGTAAAACACTTCTGAACTTCTCTTCTAAAAAGAATTGATGTGGTGCATATAATGTGTTTCATCTCCAAGCATTCCCCTCAGCCGGAGTCTTGTCAGACATCCTGAGGGCAGACATGAAACCTGCGCTGGGCTTTAATCCAGCTGGGAGTCGGACAGAGTCACGGTCCATCAGAGACGTCTCCAGACAGCTGAAGTCAGGAGACTTGAAGAAGTAACTGTATTTTATTATGAATATTGTGAAATGAGTAGCAACTTTTGTGGGAGTATTATTTTTCAATAGTGGATGTGTGGCACAGAAAAAATAAACCTGTTTTTCAAAAACAAGGCCCTTACTGTCTTCCCTATTTATTTATCTGGTATTTATGAATAAAAGACTTCATTTGAAACATACTACAAGGCACCTTTTTATTTATTATATTTAATTGTGATCCACTTAAGGAGAAAGTATTACACGTGTAATCCACTACAGGCATTTCACAGCTATACCTTCATTTCACACTAGTAACCTCAAGAGTCAAATTAACATACAAAACATGATCATCAAATAACATATTGAGAATTGTTTAGGATGAAACTACCCAAGGTAAAAGGTATTTAACATTGGCACCACCTCCATCGACATTAAAGCAGTTTTAACATGTTTTTCCTGTCAATTATAATCCAATCAAACACAAAAAAGAGACATTCTGGATAATGAGTAGGCTACCTTTTGAATTTAGCAGGCCTAATGCTTTCAATAAAATAGGAATGGACTATGAACATCATGCAGCTAATTACTCACCTGACTGATAGTAGTAGTGCAAGATAATAAGACTTGTAACTTGGAAGAGGAAATAAATACTTGAAACTGTGGCCACATGAGGAGCAACAGTTTGACTCAGTCCACCAACTCTCCTCTTTTACAAGTGGATATTTAGGTATTTTGCGCCACCTTGTGAGTGAACCGCTCAGAGCCAACCAGTCACAAGATGGTGTCAATACTTTGCACTCTTCTTCACCACACAGCCGAAGTCAGCCATGGAGCTTTCTCCCGCTCTCCTCGCGTCCTGCTCGGGAGATGAAACTCTGTGTTTATAGCACAGACCTCTCGGAGCTTCGTTTCTCTGCTCTTTCGGGCCACTACTACGGCCTTTAGCGTCTGATTTATGGACGGATCCACCATGGTTGGGGGCTCGCAGGCAGGTGAGGAGGTGGTACAGTGTGGGCCAGACAATCACGTAGGCCTACAGAGTTAAAGCTGCAGATCAGACAGACACTATTTAAGAGCAAATAAGGTCCTGTTTCCTAGTTCCAGCCTCACAGTAACATTTTAAAGCTGCTATCTTAAGGCCTATTTCAATGAACACTGTACTACTGGAGGTAACTTTAGAGCAAGTCCTTAGTCCCATTGGATCTTAGAACAACAAACTCCATTGGAACTTTTAAAAGTAAATTAAAGACCTATAGGTAATTTTAGCAGTAGGCTATCAGTGTTCATGTTAATTTGTTTTATGGTTCTGTGATAAAAACTATTTCTGTTTGTTTACAGACTGTTTTTAATTATGCTCCTCACTCTTTATTTTGTATCTTGTCTTACTCAGAAAAGCACTTTAGGCTGCATCTTGCATGAAAGGTGCTTTATAAATAACGTTTATTAGGCCTAGCCCTCAAACATCAACTTAATTCAGACTTGTTTGGGTTAGTCCTACATTCAGCCTAGTCTTCACTCAATGCTCTAGAAAGATTAGAGCTCGCTCACTACTATACGCTGGTTAAACAATGCAGAAGCATGGGAGTAATAACCACAACCAGCGAGACAAGTATGCTGATGTGTAACCAAGTCTTTATCAGAAGATCACAGCTTTTACAGGAACCCCGAGGCTGCTGTCTTGTATCCCTTAGTTTGAAAATGGTGGTGTTTTTGTGACTATTAAAGGTCCAGTGCAATGCAAGTGTTATGGCCTGCTGCTCCTCTCCCTGTGGCCAGATGTTAGTGACCGGCTGCACCCATGGAGACCTCGAACTGTGGGACCAGGATATCGATCTCCTGCAAGAAGGACGCCCATGACCTCTGAGTCACCTGCAGATTTGCACCACAGTTTAAAGTCAGTGAGATATTTCAGTGTTAAAAGGGTCAGTCTACCCATGTCACCAAAAATACCTTTCCACCTATTATTCACCTATCCATATTGGTTTCTTAACATGCAACTAGTTTTGTTCATTATGTTATTTACTAATAAAGCTTTGTGTTCATACCTTTTCCTGTTAATCATTGTTAACTGAAAAATCTTTGTGTTGTGGAACAACTAATCAAATCATTTGAAGATATTATCATTTAAACTGGCGAACATAATTGTTTGTCTTTTTTCTGACTTTTCATTAACTAGATGGAATTGATTTATCATAAGAAACAGTCTAATTTAATGATTGAAAATTAAATGAAAGTAGTTTCAGTATCTTGAAACAGAACACTATCTTAGATATTCACGGTGAACATTTTCAGTATTTCTTAAGTAAAGAGAAAGCTACAAAAGTACTTCAGTCTTTTGGGTTTTTGCGTGCCCTTATCCTTCAAGTGTTTTATTTTTCAGTCGGCCCCTAGTTGATTGTTCATAACATAAATTCATTCTGAACAGAAAATTAAATAATCCTTTCACAGTTAGCAAACAGTTAAAAGCAACCTTTAGCATTTCTATCCACAAATCCGAATGACAGTCAGACAGTGTTTGTTATTTTTCAGTTTTGGGAATAAAAAGCCCTTAAATCCCTTTAATCCAAACACAATATATATCCTATACAAGACGATGCTTGCCTAGTGTTGACACCCTTCACAAACAGGCCATTGGAGGGTATTTGTCTTCCTTTTATATTAAAATCCGTCAAGCATGAACATTGAGAAATGTGGCTGTTTTTCATTCTGCAGATGGATGCCGTGTGGAGTTTCGACTGGCCTCCTGTGGACAGGAAAGCCAGCTGAACATCCGAGTTGTTTCCCAGAATGAAGGAGCAGGTAGGATGACCCCTCTGTCCGCTTCCTCAACTAAAAGCTGCCTCCCTCCATCTCCCATGAGAGAGAGAGAGAGAGAGAGAGAGAGAGAGAGAGAACCTGCTGACTGCTTTAACCTTGGAATCGCTCTGCAGAATAGAGGAATTGTATTAGTGTGAGGAATAAATCAGCTGCAGACTGAGTCATTAATAATGGATCACTTTAAGACATCTTGCTGAAATACAGCAGCTGCGGAGAAGTGTGTGTGTGTGTGTGTGTGTTGAAGTTGGAGAAGAGGTCAGGTGCATACAGTATATCCACTGTGACATTTATATCTTGTAAGAGCCGCAGCAGAACAAGAACATGTCGTGTATGTTCATTCGTTGTGTAACCTGCCTGCAGACTGGATTTTCGTTAGCGTTTGAACACACTCCATGTTGTTAGTGCTTAAAATGAGTTGCCGTGGTAACGTCCGTTTCTGGGGTGGATTGGATGTGTCCCACGTGGTGACCCGCTGCGTCCACTGGGATTTTTTTAAATCTCAGTGCAGCTTGTATAAACACATGCCCGTCCTCGTTTCGTTTTTGTTTAAATGTATTTTTCACATAATGTTTTTTACTGTTGGGAGGTTTCAAGGACTCCGCCTAACTGAAATGTGCATTTCTTTTTCGTCTATGAAAGAGGATTTCGTGCTTGAAACCCTATTGCATTCTTTTAGGACAAAAAGACTGAAGTGCAGATGATTCAGGAGAGCAAGGTGCCCTTCCTGCAGCTGTGATCACTAGTCTGTATGGAACATTTTCCTCCTCCTGGCTGACTGTGTTTGCAGCCCCATATTCTAATGCTCCATATCCAGAGGATTTCAGCAACGAGGGTCACATTTTTCATGTTGTCAGATTTGCAGCCTGTTTTCTAATTTACGCATACCCTTTCAATCACACCTCACATTTAGTTTAATTTCAAAAGTGTAGACTCTTTTATTTCATCGGCTTTAATAATGTGTTTTTTCCTCACTGAGATGTGAGAGTGATCACTTCAAATAATGAGAATGCAGGCAAATAGTAAATTAGGCTCCTGCATAGCCCAAAAACAGCTTTTTACAATGATGGAGAGGAGGGAGTTTACATTTCGAAACGCATGTATTTACACACAGATCATTTTAATGCAGCTGAAGACCAATTGATGTAACATACTGCAGGATTATTGTATGATGAAGTATTACTGCATACTACTCAGTGTTTTTGTATCTTAAACTGAGAATATTTCACATTTACCGCCAACATTGCTTTGCTACCTGTCAGCAGGTGGCACAACACGTGGAAAACTGACAAAAGTTTGTGTATTTATATATATTAATATATACATATGCGTGTGTGTGTGTGTGTGTGTGTGTGTGTGTGTGTGTGTGTGTTTGTGTTTGTGTTCTCCCTCAGCCTGTGACTGTGAAGCTGCTACACACTCCCACCTGGTCATGTCAGCTCCGTTGTGTCTTGTGTGTGTCTCTTATGGATCGAGAGCTGCCTGATCCTTGGGGTTAGGACACTCACTCATCTCACTCTTCTCTCACGCGGAGCACACAACCAACACACACACACAGACAACACACACAAACTGGCAGCACGACCAAACACAACACACACCACACTAGACACACAACAACCATGAACACCACACACACACACACAACAACGACACACCAACCACGCACAACACACACACAGGGCACACACACCACGGTGCCTGTAAGCACAGCACCACACTCATCACAGATCTGACTCGCTACGGGGCCTGAGGGAGGAGCCATACACAGAATAAATCATCCCCTCTACACTCCACCTAACTCATATCTCGACCATCTATGCTGACACACCACTGCGTCCCAATCTTCGTCTTTTCTAATTTACATTGAGTTATTATTATACTTGTTAAATCATGCCACATGTTGGGATATATATAACGAATACGCTCTCTGACAAAACTCTGTATCTCTCTTTGTCAGCTTTTCCACGTTGTTGTGCCACCTGCCTGACAGGGTAGCAAAGCAATGTTGCGCTGGTGGTGTTCAAAATCTTCTTTTGTTCTGTATGGGTAAACAAGCAGGACATGCCTAACATAGCTGAGCACTGCTGTAGATAATTCTCTCTCGCCAGTTTACAGATGTGTGTATGTGTGATCGCTTAGTGATCTATGTTATTGTCTGCCTGCTTCTCTGGCTTCGTACACGTACTGCCAGAGTTAATCTCGTGTTTTTGTCTTTGAATCCAATTTTGTATTTCGATTATTCCTGAGGGAGAACACAAACACAAACACACACACACACACACACACACACACACACACACACACACGCATATGTATAT